TTTTCGTCTTTAAAATCGAAAGCATAAACAGGCACAGACTACAGATGAGCGAAATATCAATAACACCGTTGTAAAACTAGTAAAAACTATAAATACAAACGGAGATTCAATCATAGGCTGTGAATTCTTACCAGACGGTAAAATGGTTTTTAGTAACTACTCTTTACAACCGAAAACTGATTTTATAGCTGTGTTTGATTCGAATGGCAGTCCTTTTGACAACATTACGGTTGATCCGAATTATGCATTTGATGTAGTAGCCTTGGATGAAAAAAATATTGCTGTTACATCTCCAAAAAGCGACGACTTGTGCATTATGTGTATAGACATATTCAGTAAAGAAGTAACCAAAATTAAAACGAAATTTGCGTGTCGTACTATTACAGTAAATGATGGTAAACTTCTTTCTATTTCTCCTCAGCTGGGTATACTATCCATCGAGGCAAACAATGGTAATATTTTGTCAAAAATTGAAAATAGGTTACCAAGATACACATCACTTACATCATTTAAATCTAAACTTTATATTGGTGACCCAGGCACAAATACTATCAGCTGCTGTAATATGGACGGTACTATAATCTGGTTATTTCTCCAGCCAGACGGAAATCAAAGCAAACAACTCCTTTAGCAAACAGATCGGCTGAAAAATCTTATGGCAATACAATACGACAGAAAAAGAAATAGTCTTTTAGTGGCAAACACTATAGAGAAAGCTTTCTTATTTGACATATCATGCTAAAACATGGCAATCATTTGATTGCTTTACTTATTAGGATGCAAACATCTTACAATATTATTATTCTATTCTGAGATATTCATTTGATTAAAGTAAATAATGAAAATGAAGTAGGTAAATAAGCACTACAGTAATCTTTATATAATGTTAATTCGTGGAACTATTTTTCAAGAAGACAATTTGTCTACATTTCCTGCGTACCACCATGTCAGATATAGCCTCTGTTGACAACAAAATTGGTAAGGTGAAGATAAACAAACACAAACAGACAATACCCAAGTCAAACGATAAAAAGACTAAACAACTGTCAAAAAAAACACAACAAAATAAACTAAGCAAAACTCACCGAAAAGAGATGATAAACATTGGAAGATAAGTAGTTTATGCTCCACTATGACACACGCCGTGCTGCTCATGACTTGCTACAATGTAAACCATCGTAAATCTGCATGTGATGTTGTCATAAGCGCACAAATCCATGGTGATCCGTGATCCTAATTTTTCATAACACATCTCCTTCATAAATTACTAAAAAAGGATGGCCTTTTTAAAGCCTTCGGAAGGAGGACTTTCATTGTAAGCACTTATTTTTAAAAGTCAGGAGATCAAACCAATCACTTTTCACATTCACGTAATTCACACTACCATCCACCAAGGCGTTTGGATCGTGATTGGAAATTTTTGTCATAGGATTCTTTACCTCATTAAAAAGTCAGCGATCATTCTAATTCAAAGAATACATTGAAGAAGTCAAACTCAACTATTATGGCCATTAATTATCGTTCTACATCGCGTTAATGAATACTAGTGTATCCTATTTGGCATAGGTGAAACTGTTTAGTTCTAGACAAACCAAATACTGTAACTTAAATAGTGACATAGAGAAATATCTATATTCCTTTAATTTCATAAAGAGCTTTTTAATAGTTAGAAAATTTAGGAACGACATTTTTTTCGAGAAAAAAAATTGCTTGACGGCAAAAAGTGGTCATTTAAAAAAAAAATTTATTCTTTAATGAATTTTTCTCTTTCAAATATTTATTTCTTTTTAATTTGAAATTGGGTTAAAATAGCATTTAACCTGTGTGTTCGAACATCTATAAGGATGCATAACACACATACACTTTTGACAAAAATGTTGTAAATTTCAAACTACAACTACATAGACATGATAACAATATTTTTATTTGAGCTTATTAATAGATGTATGGTTTTTGTTTAATTTATTTGTTACCTTTTAATATCAAGTTTGGTCACGGAAGGTTGCCAATTACTGGATCTTTAAAAGTTTCCCGTGACCTTGAATGTGGTCTATAGTTTTTGCAGTGGAACATGACAGTTGTTTTCCATTCGTTTGAGCTTTTGATTTTGCCATTTGATAAGGGACTTTCCGTTTTCAATTTTCCTTTATCCATTTTTTTCCATTATCACTTTTGCAGTTGTATCCGTTAAAAGACTCCTAATGACATCCTAAGAAATGGCGAATTGAACTAGCTATATATATATAAAAAAAAAATGATATGTCAATAAACACTAAATTTGACCATACAAACACTTACTTGTAAAAACACTGTGTTAAATACATTCCATATGAAATTATCACGAATGTCTCCCCGTAAACTGGCATTCATTTTATTGTTCATTGAAATTGCAGGAATAACACATCATAACTAACTTAGGCAATAAAAATAATGGACAAAAGAACAGATAACACTAACTACCAACACCCGTCTGAGCCGACACAATAGACATACAAACGACGACAAACAACAATGATCACAATACATGGTCTGGGTAATATTTTTTATTCGTTGTAATAATTGTAGAAGTTTTAGTAAGGAAGTAAGTAAGTAAGAGTCAGTTGAAGTAGATAACTTCTATTGTTGTATTATTGACAATGTCTATCGAGTGTTGTTTTATTGGGGTTTCTTGAATTAACCATACACTGTTTTTCATAAAAAAAATACAGCAACAAAACAAACCTACAAAAAGAGCGGCAAATAATCTCCATATCGCGATCGAATTCTGGGTTTACTGTCTACACCAAAACTAATATAGTATCAAGATAACTCGTAAAAGGATTAAAATCTGTTTTTGTCATCCAGGTTCTGCAATGGCCGAGTGGTCTAAGTAGTTTATTTTCAGCGATCACGTGCCTGTCAACACTGAGGTTTTAAGTTCGAACCACGCTCGTGGCAGGTGCGTTCGACTCCTATCATATTGACTAGTAGTTTTCCTGCAAAAGGTTGGTGTTTCTCTCCTGGTACTCCGCTTTCCTCCGCCAATAAAAACTGTCTGCTACAAATACCCAAGCATGCTGAAAGTGGCATTAAAAACCAACGATCAATCATTTATCTTGGCGTTTTTCGACCATCATAAAACAATCGATATGAGCAACCAAAACATCATGTTAATACCAAAGATTCCTTTTTAACTTTTGAAGTAGTTTTTTAAAAAACTACAACCAATTTAGAAACAGTTAATAATAAATGTTCATTCGGACAAAATCCAAACACAGTATTTACACTGTCGAAATCATAATTAGATCAACGTGTTTCAAATACATCCTGCCATAATACCATCAATCCTAAAGCAATCTTTATATCCTACTCGATAACGATAATTCACTACAGTGCAACAATTTAATAGAGCGACACTTTGATGAAATATATGGCAACAGTAATGTTGCAGTAACGTAGAGTACGAAGTTCAAGATCTTGATTATGCCAAACTGTTTGCCAACCTCAGTTAAAAGAAAAATAAAAAAAATGTTGTCATCTCTGTGTCAGTAAAAAAGGGAAGAAGAAACTTAGGGGCCGCCAATTATTCACATATATTTATAGAGATTATAATTTTTCTTGGCTCAAAAAATAATTGTCTATTGATTACTAACGAACTTAATTATCAATATCGTGAGGACACATGAACATGAAATACTAAGTTAATGTAATGTTCGTCATTAATTGTTTATTTAATTGTCAACGGTATTTCTGAACGCGATGTAGAACGATAATTAATGGATCATTATTGTAAAATCAACAGAGTTTTCTTGGAATAATGAACACTCAAGAATTCAAGTAAAGTGTAAATAAAACCCTCTACTGCATATTTTGTAGATATTTATGCTATGCAATAGTTTTAGTTTACAGTGTTAAAACCAAATGTTCAAACCAGCTCGTGCACTCTTCGAGATGGACTTGAGTGTCCTGTTCGTTCAAATATTGTTTAATTTTCATGACAACAAGGCACTTGATTCTCTTTCAAACTGACATTGAAATAAAGGAAAGCAAATCATGTTATGTGACGAGATGATAATTATTTAATTGAGCCCTTTTGTTATAAGAAAATATCTAGTGCCTACATGTCTTCATGTCATGTTTCAATTTTTGGTTTTAAACTAAGATTTATTGTCAAATTAATTTCTAATTCGTATGAACTCGTGCTGAGGAAGGGTGAACCGCTTCTGCGTCACACCTTTCCCCGTCGTATTGCTTGTGACATAAATGATAAGCCCCATTCGATTATAAGTCGAGTTCGGTAAGTAGCCGCAGAAGTTGACAACAGAAGAACGAGGTATTATAGACGGATTCATGACTACGTCGATAACTTCGTTAAAATGCCTGTCACGGTCATTTCAGAACGTCCGTAACGATGTAACGATTATGTAGAGATATATTCAATTTAACCATTAAGAAACGTGGGAGTAAGAAGTTTGCTAGTAAGCCCCAACCCTATAACAGGTAATTCGTAAAATAAGAAATACATGCTTTGGAAGAAAGAAAATATTCAATAGGGTATTATTTTAATGAGTATATAAGTGTTTTATTTCATGTATTAAGTTTGGCATGAAAACTCGTTTTTTATCTAAAATATTAAAATATAAAATGTGGATTATACGTCAATGAGACAGAATATCGCGGATATAGAAAACAAAAAGGCACATAGAATCTATCAACAGGAATTCTTTATCAGACGACATATGTTCATACACTATAATGGAAAAGTAGCGATATGTTGCCAAAACTCCATATGTTCTTGACGAACTACATAGACAAGGAACATGCTGAATATATCAAGATGTAAATCGACCCAAGTTTGCAGTACTGGTTTGACTGACAATAACAACACAAGTATAAGCAAATAACAAGCGGACAATACAATATATATGATTGATCTACGTGTTCTTTACAATTTAAAAATATCCCAGTTTTACCCCCAACTATAGTATTATCTTTATTATCTCCCCTGAATTCTTGTTAAGATATGTTGTCATGGGATGATTATATTTCCGTGTGTTGATATATTCAGTTTATAATTGTTTTTTTTTGTTGATATTTTGAATACCATTGTAAGTACGCTTATTTAATTAAAATTTGCTTTTTATTTGCAAGTAACAGGACACAAAGAGGCAAATAAAATCATGAATAATAGAAATATCGGATAAGGAAAAGAAAGACAACACTGTGAACAAAAGAAAACAAAAGACAAACAGAAGGCTACAAAACATTACAAAACAAAATAAACACGGATTGAGCAACACGAAAAAAACATCGGTGAAAGCATACACTTTAACATGTTTAATAAGGTTCTGTTCTAGAGTTTAAATAAGCACAAATTTAAAAATAGATTGATTATACATTACCAAATAGAAATCGAAAGTAGAAGGTGTATAAATTAAAAAGAATGGGAACTTAAATCATTATATCAGAAATTGCACTATATTCATTGCATGTAAATTAACTTCCATGGTTATAGGTATGTAGTGATAACAGTAACATTTCTATTAGGGCTATCTTTATTCTACATATATAAACATTTGAGCATACAAATCAGAAGACAATTCATCGAACAATCGACACGTTTTAAGGTAGAATTCATCTGATTATGTTGACTTTTCGTCTCACCTTGACGAAGGAATTGGACGGAAACTCTCGGTTTATTTGGTAATACTTCTTTCACTAGATTATATAACTGCATTTATTTCATATATGAAGTTGGGAGTAGAAAAAAAATCAGTTTTATACTTTGTTCATTTCAAATTATCGTATCAACTCACCCATCCGAAACCACATGGGCCTTTGTTTTCACTTGGTATCCATCGATGGTGTTCCACATCTGTCGGCAGTGCGATACCTTTCCACATTAAGATCATCTAGAAGAGCACTAGACAGAATGAAACCAACCTTGGCAAAGATGTTCCTAACAAGTTGTTTAGCAAAGATCTTCGGCAAAATCACTGACGTTATTGATACCAAACTTGCCAAAGACGTCCCTGTAAAGAACGCAAACAAATGTAGTCAATACAGTCCCGATCGGCAATTTCAAATTGCCTACATCGAAGGTGAAGGTATTCAACATTATATCGTTTATTATTTAGAAACCCCATTTATCTTTACTGATAATAAGTTCAATGATAATTCAAAATAGCACCATTCTTAGTTCATGACATTGATACTCGAACAATAATTTTATCGGCTGATTGATAAAAAGAATTATACAAGAAAGTTTATAGTATCATTCTGTGTACATTATTTAATCTTTCTTCAATAATTGTAAATTATTTGAATATATTTTCTAGTCTGGAAATGGTATACATGTATCTAGATCTGGCTAATAACAGCAACAATACTGCAATTGACAGCTCTTGTTGTAATGGATTCAAATCACCAGTTCTGTAGCATTTGTAGCAAAGGTCACATTTCAAAACCGAGTATAGAATGGTGTTGTGAATGTAATCAAGCCTTCTGTACAGAATGCAAGAAATGTCATAGCCTAATGACTACAACTGAGAATCATATGACCATACCTATTGCTTGCTTCGATGAACTCAGGACATCGATTTTATCTATTAGTAACATATGTGAGGACCATAGAGAGACGTACCACCTTTATTGTAAAACTCATGACAAACTTCTTTGTCTCACTTGCATTGAAAATCATTCCGAATGTAAAGATATCAAATCAATAAATAAGATCGCGAAAAACATAAAGACTTCCGAATCTTTCAATGAAGTACGCGTGTCTTTAGAAGATACGGACACAAACATTGATAAAATGATATTCGAAATTCAATCAAATCAGAACAGCGCAAAAGACTGCCATGGTATTATTATACAACGAATTTGCGAGATTCGAGAAAGGTCAACAAGCACCTGGATACTCTTGAGACACGACTAAAAAAGGAACTTTCTAAACTTGAAAATAAAGCTGAAAATGATATGCAGCTGACAATTAAAAATCTAGAAGAGAAGAAGTTACAGAATGCCAGAAAACAGAAACAGATGGAAGACATTAAAAAGTACGCATCTGATCTACAAACGTTTCTAGGATTGAGACATTTATCCTCTGAAGTACTCGAAGATGTAGCTTCTCTTCAGTTGTTACTAGAAAATGAAAGTTTGGATAAAGTTGAAATTGCATTTGAGCTGGATAAGAATATTACTAGTATTTGTAATAGTATCAACACATTTGGATCGGTTCAACTGCGGAAAATTCCGTGTAGTATCCGTCTTGAAAATCAAAAAGGTAAACAGGCTCAAACCATAGAAAAAAGAAGTTCTATTGAAAACATTGTTGTCAAATTCATTGATACTTTACAAGTCAATACAAGAGGAGACACAATCTCTGGATGCGATTTCTTACCAGACGGAAAAATGGTTTTTAGTATATACTCACTCAACATTAGGGATAAGGATATTATAGTGGTATTTACTCCAAATGGCACACATTTGGACAACGTATCACTGGATCAGAATTATGCGTTTGATGTAGTAAGTTTGGATGATAAAACTGTTGCCGTTACATCTCCAACACCGGGTGGATTGTGTTTTATGTCTGTAGATATATATAGAAAGAGGCTGACAAAAACTAAAACGAATTTTTCATGTTATAGTATTACATTTAGTGATGGAAAACTTCTAACTAATGCTTGTGGCAGGGGCATAATATCAATCGATGCTACAAATGGAAATATTTTGTCCACAATCAAACGAGATTTACCTACTGCAGCATCACTTGCATTATTTAAATCAAAACTTTATTTCTGTGACCCAGAAAAAAATACTATATCCTGCTCTGATATGGAAGGTAATTCAATCTGGACTTTTAAAGATGATAGAGTCATAAAAAATCCAAGTGGCATAGCAGTCGATGGCATGGGAAATGTGTATGTTACAAACCAAGACCTCAATAATGTCATAATTGTGTCGTCAGATGGATTTCAAAGCAAACAACTCCTATCTCAATCAGACGGGCTGAAAAATCCAAAGGCAATACAATACGACAGAAAGCGAAATCTTCTTCTGGTGGCAAACAAAAAAAAGGAAGCTTTCTTATTTGACATTTCACACTAAAAGATGGCCAGCTTGGTATTGAAATACATATTACGATTCAAACATCTTACAATAAAAAAAACATTATTCTGAACGAATTATTGATTTGATTAAAGTAAACAAAAAAAAAACATATCTATCTTTATATGATGTTTATTCATATAAGGGTTTTCTAGAAGAAGATAATTTGTCTACATTTCCTAACAACCACCATATCAATCGTAGTACTTGTTGTCAACACTATTGCAACGGTTGAGATAGGTATTACGGAGCAATCAAAACAATATGTTAAAGAAAGACAAACAAAACCTTAACCGAAAAAAAAAGACTAAACACCAGTTCAAAAAAGATACTACAGACATCATAATACTAAAAACTGAACAAACACAAACCTGGCCGAAATCCGGGAATGAACACCGGAGAAGGGTCGGTATAGTATACCCCATTGAGGCACATATCGTGCTGCCCTTGACTAGTAGCAATCTGGAAAGTTGCATTTTGTGATAACATACACAAGGGGACAGGAGAGTTCTGACTTCAATTGCCAGCGCAAATCCATGGTGATCTGTAATCCTGATATTTAATGAAATATCTCCTTTATTATTTACCAAATAATGATACGCTTTTTGAAGCCTTTGAAAGGAGGACTTCAACTTCACGGATAGAAAGCGTTGAATCAATAACTTCTTTGAATCATTATTATCAAACAAATGCGGAGATCGAACCAACTACTTGTCACATACATTCATGGAAATCCGGTTTTTTTTTGTTTAAAAAAAAAGGCTGTTTATAAGAGGGCTTCAATTAAATGATAGCAAAGAAAAAAAAATGGTTTAATATTTGTTGTCAGTACCTTGTTTTTGATTTCTCTTTCCACGTTTGGACATTAAACTTTCTTGTATTGTTAAAGTCTATATGGTATGTCCTTAGTAATCATCTGCGGTAAGGACATTAGTCGAATAACAAATAAACCTCATTGTCTAAATGACAATTCCCCTTCTTCCGTTAAATACTACTCTAGCATAGCGTAACATCTGAAGTACATGTACGTGAGCCATTTGGTTATCAATATTCCATAAGGATACCAGGTCAAACAAAGATATCATAATGGACAAAAGAGACAGATTAAAATTTAAATTGACTACCAAGGTGACATGTCTGGAAAAAGCAAAAATCAGGAAAATTATAGAAAAGAAAAAGGAGGAGATAGAAACAAAATTAAATGGATTACTTATATCTTTTTAAAATCCGTTCTGCAGGAAAGTCTTAAAGTCATATGAAACCTCAAATTAAAAAAAAAGTGAAATATGTTTTATATACTTGAATAGCTAAGTTTTACTATAAAACAAGAGAACGTGAACTTTCTTTTAAAAATCTTTTAAATTATCATAATATTCATTAATGTACCGATATTGAATTATTCTCCTCCCAGACACTAATTCGTCGATATTTTCCCGTATGTAGTGACCTTATCTACGAGACCTCTCGTTATAACTTCGGCCACCGCAGAGCGCAAATGCGAGGAGAAACCCGTGATTAAAGAATGTAAACACACGTGCTCTGGAGGGTAAATAGTAATAACAGATTCTTACAGAACAAATTTAATACAACAAATCATTGAACAACTGTTAAGGAACAGTTTAACTAGCAAATGGGAACGCATGGTTAATATAAAAAAATGTCATGTCTCTTTCAATTCACTTATTTGTTACGTTTTCTACGTGCTCTGTGTTTATTGTTGATTAATATCACGATACGGTAAACTACGGCAACTAACTCGAAAGTTAATCAACAATCACTGATTGAAATATTATTTGCCGATAATACGTTATAGATTCGTAATAAATATTAAAAAAAAAACGTGCATACAAGACTTAGTTTAGTATATATGCATGCATTGGTTCAATAATTTCGATAACATTAAAATTTCAAGAAACTCGATTCATATGACTTTAACTTTAATTAAAAAGCTGATTAAACATGTTTGAATCTCATAACATGTTTAGATTCAATTCCAAACATTGAACACATTTTTTTTTTTATTTTTGCTTCGGTATTGCATAGCCGAATGCTAAATTTTCAAAAGTAAATTTTAGAAATGTTGTCAACGCCTATTGGATATAACATGCATTGTCGTTTGAAAATTAACTTAAATTTAAAATGTAACCACCCTAGTGGTCGCGTGATAACTGATTGCCTTAAGTGTGGGGAGGCCGTTGGTTAAATCCTCATGCGGGTAAAATGTTTGACACATGAAAACTGATTTTTCTGCTTCGCAAAGCACATCTCAATAAGACATTAGAGCAAAGACTGGTAGACTCGGATTACAGAATAATACGTCTAGGGTAGGGTGCTGTCTCTTCCTGTGGACTATCTTCTTGAGAACTAGCAAGTTTAAAAATCCTACAGAGCGTGCACAACCAACGGCGTGGTTACTGATTGATAACGATGACTTGTTACAATGCTTAACTCAAATAAATATAAGTTTTGTTAGGGTGTAATCACATTATATAAAACGAAAAGGTCATTGAATCACGTAATCAATTCCCACAATGATACTACTAAATTACGTATATAATACGTATTTATCTGTATTTTTCTAAAGATGTTTTACATAACAATTCATCTAAATATATCACTTTCAGTGTTTAAGAGGCAATATTCACATTTTCGGCCAACAAACGCTTATTGAGAATATATATTGCCAGAAATACTTGACAAATTGTACAGCTGTGCTAGGCTGCTTAACAATTTAATACACAAGAAACATTACATGAGGGGTATGGATACATACTTTGGTAAATATATAGATTATGTAATGGTTTGTTAGTTTTAACAACTTGAAGCTCAATTTTCTGAATATTTGATGCATCAAACATGTCTATATTTATCGGATACTTCACGTTTTCGTTGAATGATTTAATACATGTATTTCATTTGGCCTTTACAAAGTAAAATAACATAAATAGTGAACTCCGAGGAAAATTCAAAACGGAATGTCCATAAACAAATGGCAAAATCAAAAGCTCAAACACATCAAACGAATGGATAACAACTGTCATATTCCTGACTAAAACGTTTTCCTAATGTAGAGATTAAAATAATTTTAAATATGTAATTTTCTGAAATTTAGTGCGAGCTAATTTTTAGTACTTTAAGTAATTTCAAGGTTATCGCATCACACAAATTCAATGCCATCCCCGGCATTTGGTTTGTCACGTGTTATCTAAACTTTGGTTGTCTTTGGTGTGTTATGGTGGCTCTTGTTTGTTCGGTTCGTTTCTTATGGCCATGGAGTTATCTGCTTTTGACGTATGGATTTAATTTGTATTTTCTCAATGTTTTCACGTTTTTGATAATTGTGCAAATGCATGTTATTTCAAACGTACTTTATGTAAAACTGGTTTTATCGACTTATTATAATACATTTGAATAGTTGCTTAAAATTGTTTTCAACTTCAGTTATGAGTTTGAAATTATATACTGTTATGATTAAATATTTTAGCTTTATCACATAGCAGTCAATAAAGTTTTATCGAATTATGTTAGGTCGCATGAATAGCTACAATTCCAATGTTTGATATCTATTTATTCTATGGTAACAAATGAGTAATTTAACTATTTGTTTCATATATTCATTTTAAAATGCTCTTCTGAAAGCTTGATCGCATCCATGTCGAAAATAAGACATATTGTTTAAAATGTTGTGTATAAATATGTAATACGTTTGAATTTATTTTTATTAAGTTTTGTCATAAGAATGTTCATTATCTGTTATAAAAGAATGTGTCCTCTGAATATTAACGTCCGTCCGTCACAAATGGTGTAAAATTTCTGTTTTGAAATTTTACGGGTAGAAGGTTAAAAAAAAATATTAGATGAAAGTAAAGTTTTATAAATTATTCCGATTTTTTTTTACATTTGCAGTTAGTGACAATACATGTTATTCGGACCCCATGCAATTTTTTGTATAACTGTTTTCTTCCTCTTTGGATATTTCTTAAGGCGACATCATTCTTAATCTTTTGGTCTTCCGTCAATTAAATTGCAGCCAACTTATTATCTTTGATACTATAACCATTTGCATTGTTTTTCTGTTGATAGAGAGAGAGAGGTTATTCGTAATTCGTTAACAAAAAATTTGCACTTTTCACAAATCAAAGTACTTTCTTTTCCTTATCTCTTCTATTTCTATGAATAGTGTTTTTCACTAACACCTACTTTCAAAAGTAGTTTGAGATCCTTGAATGACCTATTCAACCAGACGTATTTGAAATCAGTTTACAATTTAAATCAAACATAAATAAACTTTGATTTAATATATATTATAACAAAATACAGAAATCAGTAAAGGTTTTGTGAGTTTAGATAAAGAAATAAATATACACACGAGTAACCTGTGGCGACATGCCACGTGCCAATTGTGCAAAAGATGACATATGGATCATATTATTCTAAATCTTTTCAATAAACTTATCAATTTTTTTATCATATAAAACGGTTTCTAATGAAATTACATTTAAAATTCTATAAAAATGTTAATTGAGAGAAAATAATTTTTTGTTAGTTATCTACAAAGTAAAGGTAATAAAAATACAATACAAAAGAAAAAAATAAGAATTTTTATATATGTAATTATAGATTCAAGATCTTGATCTAAACGGAAAACATATTTTTTGGCGATATGATGCAATAGAAAATAATCAAAACGAACTGTTCCAACAAACTGCTGTATAATTGTTCCTCGTCAATCTTTTGGTCATGAATTTGTCAAATTTTTTTTGATTTCAGTTTTTTTTTTTTATTTCTCTTTTAATGTCTTTTCATCTGTTCTATTTCAACACAAGGTACCCAATACTAGTATATACTGGTACCAGTAAAAGATCTTTCGGATTATGATTGAACCAGAAAAAGGTTTATATCAAGAAAAAATAAACATGGTTACAAAGCATCCTCTTTTCGGTTGTTAAATGTTTGCTGAAAGGGTGTCTAGTAAGCTGTGACAGTTAAATGAATAGGTAACAATCCCCTTTAGAAATGGCAAAATAGAGATCCTTTCTATCCGATGACGTTATAGAGAAAGTCCAAATAACTGTCC